AATTTTGAGTTAACATCACAATTCTTGACTTTTTTCTCAGAATTGCAGGTTTATATCACAATTCTGACTGTATTTCTCACAGTTCTGAATTTATAACTCTCAGTTATGAGTTAACATCTCACAATTCTGTCTTTTTTCTCAAAATTGCGTTTCTATTTCTTACAATCCAAAATGTATCTCTCAATTTTTAGTTAACATCTTGTAATTACATTTTTTTCTCAAAATTGTGTTTTTATGTCACAATTCTGACTGTACTTCTAGCAATTTTATATACTTTAATATTTCTGTCGAAATATGCATCTTGTGATGCAGACAGATCCTTTCGTCCATGAAATTAGGCGACCTTTAAAAGAGATATAAACTCAGATTTCTGAGAAAAATGGCAGAATTGGGAAACGTTAGCTCAAGATTGCGAGATATATATAAACTCAGTATTGAGAGATAAAAAAAAGTCACAATTACCTTTTTTTTTCATGTGGTGGAAACAGGCTTCTGCATGTATGAGATTATTTATTGTTCTTCATGTGATTAACAGGTGAGGCCATCAAGACAGTCCAGAAAGAAGTGGCTCAGATTCTGGAAGGAAGAATATTAGTGGGACACGCCATTCACAATGACTTAAAGGTACAGTACACACAAAAAAGGCCGTTGTCGCACGCTCACATCGTTCCAAGCCTGTATGCTTTTTCTGTGGAAAACAAACACCAAAAAAAGCACCAAACTAGGCTATATTACAGCATACGGGATCGGAATGGCTTGAGAGCGACTAATGATGACATTTTCAGATATAGTATAATGTCAAAGGTATTCCTTTAACGAACTGTCAGATTTCTTTTAAACACCTTTGTGGTGTTCATAGATTTTGCTGCTGGATCATCCCAAGAAAATGATCAGAGACACACAGAAATACAAACCATTTAGGCAGAGAGTAAAGGTATGAAACAATTTGCTGGTAACTTCATAAATCAATATTAATAATAATAAATAAATATGCAAATTTTAATTGTCAATGTCTCCTCCTTGTCCTCTTCCTCAGAGCGCACGTCCTGCGTTGCGAGTTTTATGCAAAGAGATTCTCAATGTTAAAGTCCAGCAGGGTGAACATTCATCTGTAAGTCTCTCGTCAACATCTAAGACAAACACTGTTCTCCATTCATTATTTCAACATGCATGGCTTGATCTTTTGCCATATAATACAAGAATTAAAGCATAGACCAGCATTCAAAGGTTTGGGGTGGGTGAGAAACTTGAATGTTTTTGAAAGGTGTTTCTTTTGTACACCACGATTTATGCATTTATTTGACCAAAAATGCAGTAGAATATTATTACAATTCAAATTAAATTTCTATTTGAATATATTTTAAAATGTAATTTATTCCTGTGCTGCAAAGCTGAATTTTCAGCATCATTGCTCCAGTCTTCAGTGTCATGATCTGTGTCAGAAATCATTGTAATATGCTGATAAATCTTTTGTTACATAAATGTCTTTGCTGTCACTTTTGATCAGTTTAATGTTGTGTGTGCATCACAGGTTCAGGACGCTCAGGCCACTATGAGGCTGTACACTCTGGTGAAGAAGCAGTGGGAGGCGGAGCTTAAAGCCGCCCGGGCGGGTCAATATCAGAAGAGCCCACGAAAACCCAAAACTCCTAAAAACCAGAGCAAATTAATTCAGATCAGCCGATAAAAAAAACTCGTCGCAAAACATGACAGACTGAAACATGGATCTGTTTTACCAGCGTGGAGTAACACTGTCTTCAGTTACGTTATGATGAACTGTGTTTAATATTCCTGTCTGAATGTCTCTCAGTTTGTACTTGAATCTTAAATCCTATCTTCTGTTATTTGAGGAATGAGACCATCAAACCGTTCAGATTATCAGTGTTCTATTGAGCTCTTTTATACCAAGTAATTTAAATGCGTATTTTCCATCCTGTTTAAAATAACGTGACAGATGTAACTGTTATTGGAGACTCATAGTTTTCTATCTGAACTGCTATTAAAGACCCCACACTTGATGTGCACAAGGTGTTGATTTCTCACATCGAATGACACAAATAATGGCATTGAAATATAGTGAAATCTTAAAATCCCCCCCCCCCAAGTCACTTTTAACTATTAAAAGTAATCAAAAT